TTGTGTTTTAGTAATTGGATTACTGTGGTTCAACAAGCTGTGGTTTAAAATGTTGGCTTGGTGTTGTTACCTGTCAGCTCAGCCATTGTAGTCAGGAGATACACAATAATTATTAAAGTTGTTTTCTTCTTCCTGCCTAATGTACATTTGTGGCTTCTGTGACAATTTTCTGGGATTAGTAACAGCTAATGTTTAGCAAACAATAAGAGAAAGGTGCATTATGGTAAACTGCATTTAAAATAAAACAATTTGATAGTAACAATAGTATGAGCACAACTTGATCAACAACAGAGTGCTTTGGTATTTTTTGTCAGACTGGGGAATAATTAACTGTTTCAACTGTTCATTCTCAAACCATGAGAAATAACCAACCAGAGTGATTTCAACCACAACAATCACAAAATCTTTGTAGTATTTTAATTAAACCTTCAGCTTTATTACTTGCTGTAGAGCAATCAGTACAGATGGCTTGTAATATTTTAATAGTTGAAGGTGGTACAAAATGTATTTCTTAACTGATTTCTTTTCCCCACCCCACCTCCAAATTTTGTAAACGTGTTTATAATCCTAGTAGCAGTCTTGACAATTACTTATGGAATAATGAATTGTGGTGTAATTAGGTTATGCTAATGAAGAACACTGTTGCATGCTATGAATTTTATTCTGAAAAATCAAAATACAAATTATGATTCCTTATTTGTGATAAATGAACTCTCTAAATTCACTTTCATTCATCCAGAAGTGTTTCTATTAGCGAGGCACCAATATGTTTAATGTTCCCAACTTTGTGGAAGTACTTCTTGCCAAAAAATGGCCAAGGGCATTGAGTAAATCACAACCAGAAGTAAAATTCCTCTTAAAGAGCATTGTTTCATACATTCCCACTTCTTAAATATTTTTCTGTGGCGCTGAAATATATTGTTCTTATTTTTTGTAACATTGGCTGTGAATTATTGAAAATGTTTTATATCAGGTTCCTCATCTGAGGGGAATTGATTGAGAGTTGTATTTAATATCTGAAAATGTTTAAAACTTAAGAGTTTGGTAACCGTTGTGGTGAAAGGAGGATCAAGATGTCTCTGAAAATGCAAATGCTTTGTGAAATGGGACCCGGCATGGACATTCCAGAATTAAAACTTTCTTGTTCTCTGTATATTTGTATCTATTCTGTTTCCTGTATTGTTTCATGTGAGTGTATTCATAGGTGTTGTATGTGCAGTATAAGTTTCTAGTGTTTAACTCCTATCTGGTAACTGACAATTTTCAAAGCTAACCCCATTCAACGGGAAAATAATATAAAGGGTAACCCATTATTATCTTATAAACTTAAATATTTATTGAAACCAGTAAGAGACTTTATGCTCAGTGGCAGAAAAAGTCAAGTAATTTTTTAAAAGATGCCCTTAGGGTCTCAAAAATTCTGTTTTGCTGCAAATAACTATTTTGCTACTCATCTGAAAACAGCTTTAAAGGGTCACTGAGTCACAGAGTCTGTGGATAAATCTGAAGCAAGATAAAAAGAAGGTTAACTTGTGATACGTTTTAAAAGTGCCACTGAATACAGAAGGACTTCCTTTGAAAAACATTTATATCTGAAAAATTAGGAGAAAAGCGTTTTCTCTATTTTTGGTGGTGAACCAAGAAATATCGCACTACTCCATGGCTTCTAAAGGAAAACCAAAATACCGTTGCTGGACTTGATCTTAACCAGTTTTTATGATTTGTAGATGACTCCTTAAGGTATAATTCCACCCTCATTACATTGTGTGGCTGCTGCCTGTGGATCAGACTTCTTTCCTTCCTCTGTGAATTATTGTTTGCTCCAAGGAATTTTTTTTTCACAAGAATTGAGTCACGTGCTGTGAAAGAATACACAAGAGCTAAGGGAGGTACTTGCATCAACCACAGCCCCTCGCATCAGCGTGTCGCTTATTTTTATGTCCCAGTTATTTCTCTTTAGGCAACCCTTTTGGTATCTTTTACATTGATGCAGAGAGTGTGATGAGAACTACCAGGGGAAACTGGAGAAAAGGAGAGACATTGCTTTGAAACATTGGAGTCGGGGACTTTGGTGTAACCGATATTGATGAAGATTCCTCAAGTTTGAGAGGAAGAAAAATGACATGCTATTTAACAGGTAGCCCTCAATTTACAAACACCACTGAGCCCAAGATTTCTGTTGCCAGGTGAGACATTTGTTAAAGGAATTTTGCCCCATTTTACGACCTGTCTTGCCACAGTTGTTAAGTGAATCACTGAAGTTGTTAGATCAGTGATACGGTTGTTAAGTGAATCTGGCTTTCCCACTGACTTTGTTTGTCAGAAGGCTGCAGATAACAGAGAACAATCAGAGTTGGAAGGGACCTTGTAGGTCATCTAGTCCAACCCCCTGCCCAACCAGGAGACCCTACACCATTTCTGACAGATGGCTGTCCAGTCTTGTCTTGAAAGTTTCCAGGACAAGTTGTTCCATGGGTTGATTGTTCTCACTGTCAGAAAGTTTCTCCTTTTTTCCAGGTTAAATCTCTCCTTGTTCAGTTTCCATCCATTATTCCTTGTCTGGCCTACAGGTGCTTTAGAAAATAGCTTGACCCCTTCCTCCTCTCTCTGGCAGTCCCTCAGATATTGGAAGACTTCTATCATGTCTCCCCTGGTCCTTCTCTTCACTAGACTAGCCAAGCCCAGTTCCTGTAACCGTTCTTCATATGTTTTAGTCTCCAGTCCCCTAATCATCCAGGTTGCTCTTCTCTGCACTATTTTTTAGAGTCTCAACATCTTTTTTATAGTGTGGTGACCAAAACTGGTGTCGTCTTACTAAGGCTTTATAGAGTGGCTGCAAAAGGCGATCCCATGACCCTGGGACACTGCAACCATCATAAATATGACCCAGTTGCCAAATGTCTGAATTTTGATCACATTGATCACGTGACCATGGGGATGTTACAAGGATGAAAAGCGGTCATAAATCACTTTTTTCAGCGATGTTGTAATCTCAAACTGTCACTAAATGAACTGTTGTAAGTTGAGGACTACCTGTGTTCGTTCTTTGGAACCATCTAAGAACTTCAGCAATTCTTAAAGTGTTACTTTCCAATAAGAAAATGTTGTATATAAACCTCCAGTGTTAAGTATTCTGCTGTTCTTGGTTCTTTTAGCTTTTCTTAAATGGATCGCTTTTGACCTATTCTAGGCAATTTACTGAAATTGTAATTATCTTTACATTTATTAGATTTGTGTCCCACTTTCCTCCAGGGGCTCAAGGTGACATTCATAGCATACTCCATTTTTTACTTTCTCAGCAACAACCCTGCAAAGATAGGTTAATATCTATACATTGAAACAGCTAATGGCATTTCTAAACATGATGGCTCCTTACTATGTGTCGGTTTGTAGCACATGGAGTCATCAAACCCTTATTGAGACAGATGAAACATTGGTAGGTTTTAACGTTTTATTTCTAAAAAAAAACATCCCAGTGTAGATGCTGGAGTTCATATATTTCAAAATCTGAACCTACTGAGTAACTTCTAAGCTTCTTGCTGATCTATTTCATTATAATTCCATGGAAAAGAGTTTGTTCAGTATGTTTGAATGAAATGAAATAAAATGTAATCTAAAGAGTGTTTCTTTTATTGTAAGCCATATAGTACTTTGCAGTTATTGCTAGATTTCCTATGTCCAGCTGAAAACGATACGCTGAATTGAATTGTATCGAACGCTAATTTCCAAATGGTAGGATCCCACATGCATAATACGGAGAGAAACTTCCCCAAAAGTCTTTATGACTATGACTTTATTATTAATCTGGAGATCATAAAGAATGCTGTGAAACAATTTTGCTATTTTGCATTGTATCCTTCATTGAAAAGAAATGGTACGGGAAAGGTTTGGTATTTTTTTTTTTTTTAGTTTTATCAAAACATAAAATATAAAGAAAAAATGTTTTCTCCTTGGAAACTGCTTCTGGACTTTGTGCTTAAGGTAGAAAAAAAAATAAAACTTTGACTGGGTTTTGTTGATTGGATAGGTTTGCTGTTATAGAGATGGCTAGTATACAGTATCCTATTACTGTATATAAAAGTAAAAAGTTGAGGCTGTTTGATATTACCTTATTCTACTGCACTAAAATGACTTGGGAGTCAATGCTGTTCTTTCTTTCTTTTACTCTACACTTTTCCTCTTGCTTCCCTTCCACTTTCCCTTTATTTTCATTTTTTTTTTTTTTTTGCATTTTATATTTTGACAAACCATTGGTATAGGAATCGATGCAGTGGTGGGATTCAACCAGTGTTTGGTGACTACGATTTGTGATATATCTACATATTAATTACAAATCCCTTTTTGCTGTTATTTAGTTTCACCACAATTATAAGAACAACAATACTTGCAGAAAAGTTAGCTGCTTGTTCTTTTCTTGGCTGATGTACTGGGTTATTTGACTTTATTTAGAACATGAACCTGAAACTTTCAATATTCCTGGAGATCATAGCAATTAATCTCTTAAGCTATCATATACTTTGTCTGCTACACCATGAAATTAACAAATTTATTTCTTTTATCACTTACTGTGTTTTAAATTCTCTTTGGGGATGAACCACACTTTTCATTGGAGACATGATGATTCCTTTGGCATCTTGTAAATATATATAGATAACTATGGCAGTCTTAGGAATCTGTTGAGAATCATGATACAGAATGGAAAGGGAACCTATGTTGGCAGATTTTCATTTTTTTCCAGATTTTGTATTTGTATGCCAAAGTATTTACAGTTTTTCACAATGGCTTATGGGTATTGTTAATGTGTAATAAATTGAATTCCCAAGTATTTGTTGATCAACCAAAGCTCATGCCTTAGTCAAATTGCATAATTTAGAATGTTTAGTCCTTAGCAAAGACATTGACTTTAACCTTCATAGTTTAATTAAGATTATATATTGTGTGTTAAATCTTGCGTTTGTCTCCCACATTTAATTGACATTCTTGCCTTCTCTTTATTTCAGAAGAGGATTTGGAAAATTTTGATGTTTCCAGTCTTTCTACTGAGGTACTGCAGAATATTGAAGCTGACAGTTTCTGGTGCATGAGCAAACTGCTTGATGGCATTCAGGTGAACTGATTTCTCTTCTAACCAGTGGGCATATTTCATTTGCATTTGGGCTTGGAAGTACATTAGAGATGTTGAAAATCAGGCAGTTGATAAATAGGATGTAGCAGTTGGTGATACTGCATTTATTGGTAGAGGGCTACCTGCCTGATTCTTGCTGGTAAAAATAATTTATCATGAAATTGGCCATTATCATTTCTGGCGTACATTAAAAAGATACCTCCACCCCCAATAAATCAGTTCATTGTTCCTTTTTATGACTGAAACAAAACTATTTTGCCACACGTTGGTAGGCATTTTTAGTAGATAAGAACCTACAGTATATGCCATCTTTCCAAACAAGGTGGCTTATCGGTATTTTCTTTAAAATAAGAAGCCCCCCTTAAAAAAAAAGCCTAAATCAAATTGCAGGGCTGAATAATAGTTAAAATGCAAATGTTACAAAATGATAAATTAATACAAGTAATACGAACAGAAACCGGATTAATTAAAAGATAGCTTAGATTCAGAGAATTTATATTAAAGGGCTCAAGGTTGCTCTGAACCTTTTCTCCGTGTGTTATGTGTAATTGCAGTGAATATATTTCAATCAAAGATGAGACCACTGGTCATTGTTTGCCGTAAATTCATACCTAACCCAGTGAATTGATACTAGAAGAAATCAGTACAGTTAAGCACTTATATTTATGCTTTCCATTTGAGTAGTCAGGTTTCTTTTTGGAATAGCTGCAAGTATGAGAATAGTATTTTAAATCATTCCATCTAGTAGCTGGCAGCATGTGGAATGCATTGTGATGCCTTACATTCAGTAGGCTTGTATCAATGAAAGCAGTCTTTTGAGTGGCCTAGTTTTTAAGAATCTCTATCATGGCCATGAATATACATGGGCTGAAACAAAAACTTCCATGTAGGTAGATAGAATAAGGCAATTTCTATCTGGGAAAAAAGCACCCCTTTAATTTTAATAAGAGATTAGTTGGTGAACATACTGTAAGATCCTGTGAGCCCCAGTGTTCTCTGACTGCTCTTTCTTCCCTGTAAGAATAATTTTGTTATTGACAGAGGCACTTTTCTCTGTTTACAATTACTACTGTTTGTGAAAATGTTCTCGTTTGCATTGTTTTTATTATTCCTTTCTGTTGTTTCTATTTTTCAAGAGAATGATGTATAAAGCATGTCGCCTAGTATCCAATAAGAATTTTAAGATGGCTCTTAGGTTTGAAAAATGGTTAGTGATTGAAAGCTTTAATATAGCTTGCGCGTTTTCTTTTAAAGTATTAAAAGGAAAATCTGCATCATGTAGCTCTTTTTGAAAGCACAGAAATACAATTACCTCACCGCCTAGAATTTGAGCTATCGTTTTCTTTATAGGCATTATTCCTCCATTGAGGACAAAAAATATACCACTGTTTCAACTGGAATAAAAATCTTTTTCAGATAGTTTAGCATGTCATACCTAGAATTCTCAGATACTTTTTCAAAGAAGCTGACTTCTTAGAATTTGGAATAATGGAGCATTTACAATGCATTTCTTTTTTAACAGAACTGTGATATGGAATAGGTAACTATTTCCAAGATTTGGGAATATATTGTTGGCCTTACTATAAAGAAAGTTTTCTTGACAATTTCTTACGTTTGCAGTATTGATATCATGTCAATACTTTTTGCTGAAGTAGCAATTGGCATCTTAATAACAAAGATAACACATCAATAAATCTACACTCTCTTTACTTCTGCTCTCTGTTTGATGTATTTATTTCCTCTCAGGTGGTATAACTCCTAACTTTTATTTTTCTGTTGTTGGTGATGCATCGGTTAGAGAAAGGGTTTCTTCCTTAAACAGGCCAGAATGTTCCATTGTTGAAAGACAGGTTTTAACAGCAGCTATATGGTTATAATTAATAACAATATTTCTCTTGGTAACTTCATTATTTAACTTCATTATTTTGTTGTTGGTCATTTATCAAAGGTGAGAGGAACTGAAAGCAGATGCTATCTAGAAATGCAATATTCACTTAAGTAGGTGAACTTTTTTGAAGCGCCATTTTTATCTCTCTTGGTCAACTGGTAATTTTTAAAATGTTTTGTCTTCTAGGATAACTATACCTTTGCTCAGCCTGGTATTCAGAAGAAAGTAAAAATGTTGGAAGAGCTTGTTAGCCGGATTGATGGTAAGCCTTAAAAGCTAAGGGGAATTGTGTCCTTTGGAGAATGTTCAGTTAGAAGCTTGAACAGTACCATAGTAATCAACAAATCTATTGTTGTGACCACAGGTTGTGACACCCTTATACAGAATAAAAATAATAATAATTAGGGAAAAAGCCTGGAAAACATAACAAAAAAGGCATATACAGGAGTTAAACTCTAACCAATAGTACAATTAAGAGCTTAAAGAATTATTTTTAATGAGTTTTAAAGAGAGCATGGCAAACCTACTACTAACAGTTGGAAACAGTTAGTACTTGTACTAACGAAAATCACTTTAAAATAGGCCTGTATAACATGTTGAGAGGAAAGGACCACATTGATAAATTAAAAATCTAAAAAATGCCTGGCATGTCAATGAGGCCTGTCCAAATGCAAGGATACCCACTATTATTATTGTTGTTGTTATTGTTGTTGATATTATTATTATTTCTTGCACAGTCATCCAAATGCTTAGATTAGATTTGACTTTTTTGTCCACCTGTGAAGTGCTTCTCAGGGATTACATTGCTGTTGTTGTCATTTTTTTATCCCCCCCCCCCCATTTTATATATGTCTGTCAAGGCAGTGAACATACAGAATACTCCTGCCTTTATATACCCCATAACAACAAACCTTATGGTAGGTTGGTGAGAGACAGTCACTCGTCCAAAATCATGCAAACAGCTTTCAAACCTAAGGAAGGAATACCTATATCTATATATCTATATCTATATCTATCTATGTTTTCTTAAGTTTTCATGGGTATTTATATGTATGGTATTCAGCTTTGTTCGGGTATTTTCCTACATCATTATAGTTGTGCTTTTAAAGTTGTAGCAACGTTTCGGCAGAATCTCATCTGCCATCATCAGGCTTCTGTATTGAGTTCGTCTGTGAGCCAGACTTTTACAGTTGTTTCAGTTTTAAATTTGGGGCTAGCCTACTGCTGTGCCAGAATGGTTTTTTCTTCATCCTGATTGGTTGAGAATCTTGGTCTGTGTTTATTGGTCTTGGAGTTTGCTGTGTTCTGCTTGATTGGTGTTTCTAATATCTTCTGTCTGTTTTGTGTCTTTTTTTGTCTTGATTGGCTGGCAACATTGTGTTCCTGTATTGGAGGCTTTTAGTGTAGCTTGGCTACGAGTAAATGGATGGCTATCATTTATTAGGAAGCTAGGTTACATCTGGGTGCCTGGTTGTGGTGTGTTTGAGCTGGAGGTATCAGGGGGGATCTATTTGTATCCAGGTGTTTGCCTGGCTTGTGGTGTAGAGATTTTTTTTGTTTGTGAGTGCAGGCTTCCAAAGAATTGGCAGTCTGGTGGAATCATCTCTTCTATTCATTCAGCAAACTCCAAGACCAATAAACACAGACCAAGATTCTCAACCAATCAGGATGAAGAAAAAACCATTCTGGCACAGCAGTAGGCTAGCCCCAAATTTAAAACTGAAACAACTGTAAAAGTCTGGCTCACAGACGAACTCAACACAGAAGCCTGATGATGGCAGATGAGATTCTGCCGAAACGTTGCTACAACTTTAAAAGCACAACTATAAGGACGTGGGAAAATACCCGAACAAAGCTGAATACCATACATGTATGTATGTATGTATGTATGTATGTATGTATGATTGAATAAAACTGGCTCTCATTGTGATAAAAGGTCATCCTGAAAAATTAAGCAACATTTAATTATCTTAATGTAATTTTATCTTAATAAACTTACTGAGAAAAACTGTTGTCAAGACAATTTTACATGGAATCTTTATGAACTGAGGCATAATGTCTCTATTGCCTGTTAGGGTTCCCTCTCCTCATCATACATTTTACAGATCACTTATAATAAATGTGCAACTCTTAGAATCACAGGCATATGTTGTCGTTTTATGAAAGAGTTTTTTTTTTTATCTTGGTGGATCAAGATTTCAGTTCCAAAGGATTTGTTGCATTACAATATTTATAAGCAAAGCTGTTTTAAACTGTATAAAAAGTGTTACAAGGCAAACTATTTTAATTACTTTTCTGAGGTTTATTAAAAGCTTGCTGATCTAAAACTCAGTTTTATTGAACATGATCAAATTCATTTCCTGGTATAAAACCGCAAGCCGTTTTTACAAAGCCTGTATCATTTGATTTTCCTCTCTGGTTTATGGAGTTTAGGGATTGTAGTGCCTGTTGGTTCAGACAGTAAAATTAAATGTATCAATTGAATTTAATTTCCTGGGCTAGGGAAATTCAATATAAAGTTCATTATTGGAGTTTGAAATAAAATGGTAATTTCATGTTTTAATCCTATATTATTTTGATTGATTACTGCAGCCCATCATTTGTACACAATTGTACAAATCCAGAAGTGGTATTCAGCAGGTTCTGACCAGTTCTGGAGAACCTCTAGTGAAAATTTTGAGTAGTTCAGAGAACCAGCAAATACCACCTCTGACTGGCCCCGTCCCCATCTATTCTCTGCCTACCGAGTCCCAGCTGATCGGCTGGGTCTTCTTTTGTTGCCCTGCACAGGAGAACGGAGCTGGAAAGCAGGTTAGTGGGATGGGGACGGAATGGGAATTTGCAGTAATTTTCTCCCAGGAGTGGGGAGGGAATGGGGATTTTACAGTATCCTTCCCATGCCACGCCCACCAAGCCATGCCCACAGAACAGGTAGTAAATTTTTTTGAATCCCACTACTCTACAAATCTATGATCTTTTTGTTAGTAGGAACTACTATTGTTTATTTAAAAAACCAGAGAGCGAAATGCAATGACAATAAAGGTGTTCTATTCTATTTATTTAAAAAAAAATCCATCCTACCAAAAACATATGTTGAATATAGATACATGAGCATTACTCGACTTGAGGGATGGATAGAACGATCCATCTTAACTCTTTTCGCTGCTGCATTTATTTATGTTCTGAATTTTTCTATAAGGATGGCATAAAAAACAACAACTGGATTGCTAAAGGAGCAATAGAAAAATCTTATCACTTTCCCAGTATGTGCTGTTCCCTATGGAATTCCTGATTATCTATGGCTACCAAGCAAATTGTTAAAATACAAGACCAGTTGAATTTAACCTATAAACATTTTTGCAGCATTTTCAGAACTGAGCATTAGCTAACCTTATAAAGCTACATACATAGCTTTATATACCCTTGAAGGTCATTTTACATGGGATGTATGATGAAACTTTCTTAATTCTTTCAGGAATACATGTAATCCAACTTAAAATAGATGCTTCTATTTCAGAATTGTTTCGGTCTTTTTATGCAAAGGAAGGTTTTCTACACATTCGGTGGAGATGTATAGGGCAAAAGCATTTTGTAATGTTCCTGGACACATTTGAAATTGGTATTCCAACATTTAGTCCATTTCTTTACCATTTGACTATTCCTGGACCATTGGACAATCTGTTGATTATAACAACGAGGGTTTCACTTTTACTTTCAGAGACTCAGGAGAGGCAGTTGGCTTAAACAAGACACACAACAAACAAAATTCACACTGCCTGAAATTGCCCAAGTTTTAAGTTCTAACTCCAGGCAGTACTTTATATTAGAAGTATTTTATCTAGTGAATACAATGTTTTTAGTAAGTTAAGATACCATTTTAACTAAACATTGTTTTTTTTCACATAGTCTGTTTAAGGATAAATTATGGAGTCATTATTTAATTGTTTGTAAAACATATCATGCACTTGCATAAACACGTTACCTCTTAAACCCAAATACAGCAAATCTATGATATAAATGGTGTGTTTCTAACCATTCTTTTAAAAAATGGACGCCTTACTTCAAACATTTCCAGTAGTTTTATATAAGATGTAAAAGTGCTGAAAAGACTGTTAAAATAAAATCACTTGTGTTTCTTCATTTTGATACAAGTGCTATTATTTCTTGAAGATTTAGCACAATTTTATTGTTGCAAACTGCTGCATAAGTATCTTTGGAAAAATTCTAAGTCTGAAAGATGGCAATAATTACATCTGCCAAGCCTTTTATTACATCTGCATGCTTTCTTTCAATGACATGGAAAATTTAAATTAAGAATTATTGCCAACCAAATTACCTTTATCAGTGAAATAACATCTGCTCACAATTACTTTTGAAAAAAGAGGAATGAATCTTTTCATACTGTGCGTTTTCTATGGTTTGTTCATATATTATCAAATAAATGACAATTAAAAGCTTTGCATTTAGTTGTCCATTTTTCAATATGTTAAAAAGTAATAAAGAAAAGCCCATGGGAAATTCAATATTTTTCTTTTCGTTTTGTTTTGCTTTAAAATAAATTTGAAACATTTAAGTTGCCTTGGTTTGCTGGTTTTATTATCCACAAGATTTTCTGATAATTGTTATATAAATAAGTGGAAGTTGCTGCCTATTTGTTTTAATCATGACTAAAGCTTTAATTAACTTATGATAATATTTAGTTGGAAGCAATATAAATTTACTAATCAGTAATATCTGGTCTTTACTTATGGCATTTCTTAGTGAAGATAAATGTTCTCTCTCGTACCACAAATACGCTATGTGTAACAAAGATAGTGATGAACTTTTCTCTGAGTAGTAGTCTGAAAGTTCAAAATTTAGAAACCTGTAAAATTAAGTATAGGATTATCAATTACTTCTGGGTAGATAAACAACTATAATTTGCTATCTAATGATTGCCCTTGAGTTATAAACATTCATTCAGGGATAGTTGAAAGTTGTGATGGCCCTGAACAAGTAGTACTTACAACAAAATTGACCTCAAATTTGATGCTTGACAACAGGCTCACACTTATTACAGTTGCTGTATCCCCACACTTACGTGATCGTCCCTTACAACAAAATTCAATTCAGTTGCGAGAAAAGTTGGGTCCTACCCTCGGGTAAGAAAAAACAACAACACATGCACAGGTATAGAATAGGTAGTGTCTGACTCAACAGTAGTAACTATGAGAAGGATCTAGGACGAGGATGTCAAATAGGTGGCCCTCGGGCCGGATGCACCACGAATAGGCCACGCCCACCCTAGCTGTGCGAATGGGGAAAACGTCATGAAACGTCACATGACCACAATGTGACACGGCGAGTTTGACACCTGTGACCTAGGACAGGGGTCTCCAACCACCAGTCCCCGGACCGGTACTGGTCCGTGGAACAATTTCTACCAGGCCGCCGGTTTGCTGGGCGCCGCCATCTTGTTTTGATGAAAAAGTGCTTCCGATGAGCTTTTCCGGGTAGAAAGTGGCATTTGGGTGCTGAAAGAATCCTCGCGCCTTAGTTTCACGAGGGGGGGGGCGACTTCGAACAAAACTAAGGCACGAGGATTCTTTCAGCACGCATGGCAAGGCGAGCCGAGCGACCGTCCTGAAGCCGTCGTGAAGCCCATCGACACAGGTACAAAGGAGGAGTTGAAGGTGGCGGGGAGAAGCGGGGGACGGCTGGCTGGCCGGTCACTTGGCTCGCCTTGCCATGCGTGCTGATGCCGGTACCGGGCCGCGGATGATTTTGTGATGCCGGTACCGGGCTGCAGCACAAAAATGGTTGGGGACCACTGATCTAGGAGGTGTCCTAATGGGCTACCAAGTAACAAAGAGTATACGAGAGCCAGCCTCCCAAAAGTTCAATGTAGCCCTCGGCTGAGTCAATAAAGGGTTAACATCAAGATCACATGAAGTGATGTTACTTTATATAGCACTAGTGAGACCACAGATGGATTATTGCATCCAATTGTGATCACCATGATACAAAAAAGCTGCTGAGATCCTAGAAAGAAAGAATACAGAGAAGATAATGGATCTGGAGTCTAAACTCCAGGACGAAGGAACTGGGTATGCCTAATCTAACAAAGAGAAGAACTAGAGATGCATTAATTATCTCACAGAGAAGATAAGATAAATCCAACCTTGAACTTAGGATAAATTTTCTGACAGTTAGAACCATCCGTGGGACAGCTTGCCTCCAGAAATTGTAGGTGCTCCATCACTGGAGGTTTTCAAGAAGAGATTGGACAATTATTTGTCTGGAATGGTATAAAGTCCTGCTTGAACAGGGGGTTCAAATTGAACAGGCGGTTGGGCTAAAAGACTTCTAAGATCCTTCCAGCCCCTTTATTCTATGTTTTGTGTTCTATTTCCCCAAGGTCATTGATCAGTTCCGTTACAGTGATTGAAATTGCTGAGAGTCCCATTATGATGACATTTTATGACTGCAATGCTTAGCAACAGCAATCCCGGTTCTAATTGCTGTTGTAAACTGAGGACTACCTATAAATGTAATGGTAGCATATGCTTTTGTTATACTGCCTGTACATTGTGAAAACACTGCAGAAATGATGGTGTCCTTTTTTTATTTTTTATTTTACTATCACTGGGGTGTGTGTGTGGAAAGGTTACAATTGAATTATAGAGCAAATAACAGGAACAAAACTACGTATTGCAATTTGGACTTTATAGAAAGGGAACTTACCTTATATCCTAGTTTCTATGTAATGTAAGCAAATCATGAAAAGGCTTCTGTAATTTATTTAACCACCGCTATTACAGGAGAATGGGTGTTAATTTATTTTCTAAAGTACCTGCGAATAGAACTAGAACCACTGGATGGAAGCCTGCAAGGAGAGGGAGGGAGGGAAATGAAATAATTGAAATTAGGAGGAATTTTCTGGTCATGACAGCTATTAAGCAACCAAACAGCTTGCCTGCTGGAATTGTGGGTGTTCTGATACCGGAGATAGTCAAATGAAGGCTGAGAGGCAGTTGGTGTTAGCTCCCTCATGAAAACCAGCTGGCTGACTTTGGACCACTTTTTATCTCTCATACCAACCCACCTCACAGAATTGTTACGGGGAAAACAGGAGGCAGGAGTATTAAGTATGTTAACTGCCTTGAGTTGACACTATGTATATAAATGAACATGGGGTAAAATTGAATAATAATAAAAAGTCTGGACAGCTATCTGAAAATTTATATTTCCTACGTAATCCTGATACATTGTTCAATAGTTAGACGGGCAACATAGATAAATTTAATAAATAAGATGTGAAATTATATAACTGCATTTATGAATTAAGAGTTTAGTAATATATTAACGTTCCTTTAGTCGACATTTGTTTAATAGCGGAACAAAATCTTACCTTCCTAGTTCCTGCTTATATTCCAGAAGAGGTGGGATGGAGAATTTTCTGAACCATATTTGGGGATATGTAGAGAACATATATGATATTACACTGTTTTGTGACAGTTATATAAATATCATCAATAGTTTATTTCTGCTCTTTTTTTCTTCTTCTTTCAGACCAAGTACATAAACACATAGAACAATATGAAGTGAAATACCTTCAATTTGCTTTCCGTTGGATGAATAACTTATTGATGAGAGAAATCCCCCTGCGGTGTACCATAAGGCTTTGGGACACATACCAGGTGAACCATGCTTTGACCCTGCAATTAAGCACCCCAGGCTGTTTTGAAACACGATTCCTCCTTCCTGTACTTATTTTAACCTAGTTAGAACTGCTGTTTGGGTGCTTGAAAAATTTCCTTTGTAGGGATTTTAACGTTGACTTCGAAATTGGCCAGCAGAGTTGCCTGCAATTGTCTGCAATTCGATAGGATAATATCTTCCAACACCATTTTTTATGATACCGTGGCTAAATGCTTGGACATATCAGCCTCATATGTTGTAAGTACCAGAAAATATTGTAGATTCCAAGGGAAAAATAAAGAATAAGTTTAAGGTCTTGACCTGTAATTTTTGGCTCTATTTTTATTGAAGGCTTAAAAATATGATTTTACAAGTGGTCAATGATACCATTTTAAATCAGTCTCTTCCTTCCCTGCCCCATCATTGGAACCTACAGTAGCTGGTAACTCAAGAAAAGAGATACAGTAGAACCTCGGGTCATGACCATAATCCGTTCCAGAACTATGGTTGCAACCCGATTTGGTAGTGACCGGAAGCATGGCGGTTTGTGCATTCATGGAGCAAAAAAACACCCCCCATGGTGATTTTCAGGTTTGCTTGGTCGCCATCCGAAGATCTGTTCGTAACCTGAAGCAAAACAGAAGCAAAAATTCTGGTCGCTACCTGATTTGCTTGCGAACAGAAGCGTTCGTGACCCGAGGTTCCACTATACTAGTTTTCCTCAGATTCCTTGTGTATATTAATGGCACCAATAGATAATATCTTATTTCTAAAAGTAATATATGTGGATGGTAGTTCCTGGCCACATTCTTGTTATTATACAGATTCTTCTATCTTATTGATGGAAAGGTTAGGTACACATACCTCAATATATTATAAAGTATAGCTTGATTGGTCATGTGCCATCAAGCCAGTGTTGATTCTTAGAATCCACTTAGTTTTTTCTCCATAACAATCTTTTATCTTAATGAAAAAAACGCATTATGAGTTAACATTCCCTAGCTGAATATGGGAAATCTATAGATTCAAAAGAATATCTTCCTGTACATCTGATTTTTTTCTTTAACTAAACTTCTTAGCAAATTTTGAAGTTTCCTTGGCAGATATTCTTCTGTCCACCAGAAATACAAAGCACTAAACAGCCATATAAAATTAATAAAAAACCATGAAGACATGTGCATAGACAATAATAGTAGCGGCATGAAGGCTTAATGGGAGAGAACTTAATTTTATAGTTCATACCCTCTGAAGTAAATGTCATTAACTTGCCATCTGAAAGTTATCTGTGAGGAATCTTTGCAGATTTATTTGCACTTTCAGAAAAAAAAAATCCACAAAATAATTACCATTAAAATTTTGCTTCAGGAAGTGAAATGCATGAGCAAATTATTATTGGAGAGGCTTGTTTTTTTTCTTAAACTTTGGGTTATAAATAATATTATTAGTATTTTACTGTTTTTTACTGTGTCGAGTAAAAAAACAACTTACGTTAAGGTACATTTAAAAAAATGTAAAGTGCAACTTGATGTATTTAAGAATGCTCTTTTTTAAAAAAAAAAATCAAAATAAAGCCTGCAAAGGAAATAATAGTATAATAGTCCTTGACTTACAATAGTTCATTTAATAACTGTTCAAAGTTACAATGGCACTGAAAAAAGTGACTTATGACTGTTTTTCACACTTATGACCACTGTAGCATCCCCTTGGTCATGTGATCAAAATTCAGAACCTTGGCAATTACTCATATTTATGACAGTTGCAGTGTTCTGTGGTCATGTGATCACCTTTTACGATCTTCTGACAAGCAAAGTCAGTGGGGAAGCGAGATTCACTTAACAACTGCTTTGATTCACTTAACAACTGTGGCAAGAATGGTTGTAAAATGGGGCAAAACTCACTTCACAAATGTTTCACTTAGCAACATAAATTTTGGGCTCAATTGTGGCCGTAAGTCGAGGACTACCTGTATCTGAAAAGCACTACTTGTTTTGAAAGAGAAAAAAATAGCTACTTAATTTATTCAGAAATATTCAGCAGAATGAGTGACGACTAAAATGGTGAGTTAGCGAACCCCCATAGTATTCCACAACCATGTCAAGCATTGTCTTTTTAAAAACTACATGTCTCAGTTCATTTGAACAGCTGACCTGAACAACAGCTCCTAAAAAATAATCTTTATAGAACACAAAATAATTGAATAATAGAGTTGTAAAGGACCTTGGAGGTCTTCTAGACCAACCCACTGCTTGAGCAGGAGACCCTATACCATTGTCTGTCCAGTCTATTCTTGAAAGCCTCCAGTGATGGAGACCCCACAAGTTCTGAAGCCAAGCCGTTCCATTGGTTGTTTGCTCTCACTGTTACGAAACTTCTCCTTAGTTGCTTCTCTCCTTGCTTAGTTTCCATCCATTGTTTCTTGTCTTGCCTTTTGGTGCATGGGAAAATATTTTGATTCCCTCATCTTTGTAGAAGCCCCTCAAATATTTTTAGACAGAAATACAGTACAATTCAGTTCTGTAAAGATTAATTAAATTAATCAGTCAATTGTGTGTTTGACAACTGTTGAACTTTTTTTCAACAGTAAATAAACAAGTGAATAAGAGCAAAAATTATTTTCCAAACCTTTGAAACGAGTGATCCTCAGCTTATGATTAGTTTTGGGACTGGAATTTGGGTTGCTAAGTGATACAATCATTAAGTGAGTCAGGATGTGACTGTCTGATTTTATGACTATTTTGACTGTGGACATTAAGGGAACCACATTATTCCCTTAAAGCAGGGCTGTCAAACTCCCTGCCCCCGGGACAGATGCGTAACGTGCTGGCCAGGCCCAGGCCTGGTTTAACAAAGGGGGAAAAAAGTCCCGATACATCATGTGATGATGCCATGATGACGTGAGTTTGACACCCCTCTTTAAAACAAAACACTTGTCATTAAGTGAATCCGACTTCCTCAGTTGACATTCCTCATTAGAAACTGGTTGGAAAGGTTGCAAATTGTAATCATGTGACTTACAGGATGCTGCTGCAGCTGGTCATCAACGTGAGCCAGTTGTCAAATGCCTGAATTCCAATCACGTGACCATGGATGGGTTGATGCAACAGTTGTAAATTCAAGGACAAGTCATAAATCACTGTTCTAATTGCGTCATAAGTTTGAACCTTCATTAAACTGTTGTAAATTGAGTACTATCTATAATTGGACTTTTGGGATGCATCTGAATTACTACTGGTGGCTGTTAACAATTTTATTTTTGAATGATTAAATATCTAGTTGTCTTGTCCTGATAGCAAATAAATATAGACATTTTCTTTAGTTTGTTTCAAATGAGCATAGGCTTAATTTTATATGTTAGACACATAGTAACTATGGATAAATGTAATATGAGAATAAATACAATTTTCCAGTTACGTCAACTGCAAGTCTGATGTAAAGGTGCAAAGTAGTTGAAAGGTGAGCACTGGAATAAAAAAAATCTCACTCTTAAATTGCCAGTTAAAACATTCATCAGCTAAAGAGATGGAAAGTGTAGAATAGTCTTTGGAACACAGTTATAGATAATTATGCAACTATGCCCTTCTTTGCTCTTGAAAAAGCATAGTACTTTAGCTAGCAGCCAAAAAAAAAAAGTCACTAGAAATATTCTTTATTTTTGCTATTCTGCGGTAAAAATGTACATATAACCTTAGGAAAAAAATGTGTCTCTGTATTGGTATGAATCTTTTATCCATTTTCTCCTTTCTGCTAACATTTTGAAAATTATTACAATCTTTGTTGTCACAGTTTTGACATAATTATTCATACCCTTCAGCGTTTTCTCCTTACCTTGCCAATCTGTGTTATTGCCCCAAAACAATGAAATACGGAGGTCCATACCAATCATAGGGAAGAAGTCAATATTCAGTTCTTGACTTCTGGGTTGCTGCCTGATGAATCTCATCTTTGAGAGGTGAACCACATTTTCTGTCTCCCACGATGAATATTCTGTTGTGGTCAGTTCCATTGTCAGCACTGAGGAAATTGCCCATTGAGAATTCAGAGCTTTCGGAGTAGCCTTCCCTGTTTGATTTCAACCAGTGCAAAAAAGGAAAAGAAAGGAATAAAGAACTTCTCTAATTCCAGCTCCGACTGTCTCAGGTTCCTTTGTACTTTACAAGGCATTACCAACGCCATTTTCAATAGCTCCATTGTCGATGAATTCTTACACTGTCCAGTCTCTATTGGCTCTTTTTTGATGTTTATGAAGAGACTAAGCCCATATTCTTTAATTACTGAGCTGTATAGCAGCTGTGGCTTTAGCTGTTGGGTCCATTCACCTTCACATCTATCACCTACAAGTGCGGTAGTTCTGCTTCACTTCTTGGAGGCAGTTATAAAGCATCTCTTCCTCTCATTTCTACTCAGCTTAAAAAAAAATCCCACTGGCTATTGATTTCAGGCAATTTTATTGGGCATTTTAGTTTTGTGCTTCCCTTTTCAACGTTTACTCACAACCGATACATTTGTGTTCAGAATGAGAGCTTTCTTAATGAGCCCTCTGCATTCACTGTGCTTTCTGCAGGCACATAATCTTCCAACAAATAAAGACCTTCTAATTCTGCAGTTTGGAAGCCCTCATAGCTTTCCAAGACTGTCTTTATGATCAGGCTATCCAGATTGCTTGAGGCAATTCTGTTGTAGTCTGTTGCATATAAAAAAGAAGTGGTATAAAAACCACAAAGTCTACAAAGTTTTGTATCCCCTTTTACAACTTTGCATTGGTTCTGTTCTTCATCCTTGCCATCCATGTCTGGACATGACACCATCCCTGCTGATCAGCGTAGACACATGCTAGGGTGGTCATCCAATAAACAGATATTGCATCTGTGGCTATCGGGTCCGATTGTACAAATGCAAGATTATTCTATCTGCATCAAGAGATTGTAGAGCCAATGTGTTTGGCAATGTCTTTCTCTTTTCTTAGAATGAACTCTGTTTTACAGATTTTTGCCCATTCCAT